CTCCCCCGCCTGAGCGCCGCAACTCCCCCGCCTGAGCGGGGCTCCGGCGCCGCGTGGACACCCGCGACGCTCAGGGTGTTCTTAGGAAAGGTTTTGCAGCTCTCCAGGAGTGCTCCCAGCCGGGAATGGGAGCGGACAGGCGTCTGGGAAGGGCGAAGCACCGTTGGAAAGGTCAGCTTGCTCTCTGGCTGCTCAAGGAGTTTAAAATTAGAGACAGTCTTGTTAGAGCATGTTTCTAAAAGAGTGAAAAGATGTCCTTGCAAAGAAAGGTTCGTGACCAAATACTTTCATAAAAGAATTGAAAAAAGAATACTGTTACTTCCTTCTGGGATGAAATAAAGATATGTATTTCCTAGTTGAATTTTACTGTGAAAGTTTTAACGGCCGTTGAGAACATACTTTGGGAAACCCCATGGTAGACGATGACTGGGGTGGGCTGTTGTAAGAAATGATTCCTTGTTTGCGTCACCCCAACATCCCAAAGCAGTAGTGAGAATCGGCTCTGCAACCTGCTCCTCACCTGCTGAGATAAGCTTTCAATGGAAGCCTGTTGCTATGAACCATGTACAATTTCCTTCTTGCATAAGAGCATCCCTCAACTGCTTTACCCCTGCAGTTACTCTGCCCTAGAAAGATCTGCTACTCCAATTAAGATAGACCTAGATAGCCAAGTAGTGGAATACCACTGAAGGGAGCGATGGGTAGGTTTGAGAATTCTCTGGAACTTATGCACCACTGAAAGAGTTGGAGTGCTGGAGTCTTTTCTCATGAGCAACTAACTACATACACATGGCTTACTATTTGCAAGAAAGTGAAAAGAAAAATATTGAAGAGATTCCTAGCAGAGATGAGTCAACATACCGACAGTGATCTACTTACCCTTTATGTAATGCATCAAAAAGAAAGAAAATAACATATATACTCATATACTCCTACAGAGTAGCATCTAATTCTGATGTTTAATTTTTCAAATAAAGCATTAGAGATTGAGTTGAACTTTTCATTGTATGTTTCTGGAACTCATCTACAACATTATGTGCTGTATTAGCAGATATTAGGCTTAGATGAACCTTTTAATTATAGGACATCTTTATTGTGCTCCAAAGTGTAACAAACACTATTTTGTAAGTCAAACCAGACTGTTGTTGGCATTCATCCCTGGAGCTGAGGGAGGAATGCTAAGTTTAAAACTCTTGATCCCTTCTGTGATGACGGAACAAGGCGTCTGTGTCATTTTCCCACATTTTCCCACATGCACACAATATGGGTCTTGCACATCTTGCTCCTCTCAGTTGAAACAAAACTTTATCATTTATATTATGTGTAGGAAAAACACAAATGGCTCTCAGTTTAATTTTGGTTATCCAAAACAGCAAACTGCTTAAAGTATGATTCTACAAGAGCTCCCAAATTCCCTCCCTTTAGAGTTCAAGCTCTGAACACTACAGGGAACAGGACCCAAGAACATGATGAGAAATCAGGGCAGTGATAACTTTAGATGATATAAAACTCTCTTCCCCTGCTGCCTGTGAAGAGAGGAGCTACCATGACATGAGAAGGCTGGGCAGCTAGGTCCTGAGCAACCATTTAAGAAGCCTAGAAGAGATCTGAGGAAGGCCTCCAGGAGCTGAGTATGACCATACTCACAGCCAGCAAGGAAGGATGCCTTTGTCCTACAACCGAGAAGGATTGAATATGTCCAACAAACAGAATGAACTTGGAAGAGGACTCTGGGTATCAGATTAGAACACAGCCCCAGCTAGAAATAAGGCCCTGATTCTAGAATTCTGAGACCCTGATCGAAGCACCCAGTTGTCCTGTTCCTTGACTTAGTGGACTGTGAGACAATAAATGTGACTTATTTTGAGCTGTGAATCTTGTGGTGATCTGGTTTCAGTGACTTTATACTGATATCCAAATGAAAATTGCTTTCTTGAAAAAGAGGAAAAGGAAAGGAGACAGGATAAAGTTTCAAAGTGCTGACAAAAGCTGTTAGCAAACTATGACATGTACTACCTCTGAAACTATTTGTCATATAATCTTAAGTTAAAGTAGCTTTTAAGGAGTTTTGGTTTTGAGGTCTTGCAAACATAAGCCATTTCAGATTGCCCAGGTATAATCAACTGCCTATTAATATTGCACAAAAACTGATTAAAAATAAACCTTTAAAACAAATATTAGAAGAAAAATAAGGAAGCTTTTATAACTGTGAGACTACCTAATGAAGATTCATCTGAAATCCTTAAATATAATGGAATGCCCTCTGGAGCACTTGCTTAGCATGTGTGAGGCCCTGGGTTCAATCCTCAGTAACACAAAAGGAAGAAGAGGAGGAGGAGGAGGTAGTAGATGATACAATGAATATGCACTAATGACAAAGTGTTAAAAATAAAGTTTAAAGGGCTGGAAAGGTGGCTCAGTGGTAGAGCACTTGCCTTGCATGCATGAGGCCCTGGGTTCAATTCCCCAGCACCACATAAGCAAAAAGAAAAAAAGCCGGAAGTGGCGCTGTGGCTCAAGTGGTAGAGCGCTAGCCTCGAGCTGAAGAGCTGAGGGACAACACCCAGGCCCAGAGTTCAGGCCCCATGACCAGATCCAAAAAATAAAAAATACATAAAAATAATAAAGTTTAAAGAAAAAAACCAGACTGGACACACAGGTCTGACAGAGCATATAGAGAACTGATTAAGAGAAACTTTCCCTGTATTTCCTCCACAGATCCGTTGAACTACATCAGCTTTGAAGCTGCCTTAGTCATAAATTGGTTTGTTTAAACCATTTCTTGAAAATTTGTGTTCCAGTGCACATTGTAACATAGCCTTAGTCACATACTAAATTCACCTGTGACATAATGATTTAAAAATCTACTGCTAAACCAGTAATCCTAGTTTATGCTTGTAATCCTAGCTACTCAGGAGGCTGAGATCTGAGAGTTGTGGTTCAAAGCTAGTCTGAGCCTGAAAATCTATGAGACTCTTCTGTCTTCAATTAACTACCAAAAAACTGTAGTGACCTGTGGCTCAAATGCCAGTGAAAAAGCTGAAGGATAGCCCCAGACCCTAAGTTCAAACTAGTATCAGTATAGAATGGAAAAGGAAGAGAAACCTGATGGCAGAAAATCATCTTCAAAGATGCCACACAACCCTAAAAACCTTTAAAAGATTACACAGCAAATAGTTAAAGCTAATCTACATTGGACAAACAGGAATAGAAATGGCCAGCCCTGTTGAGGTGGAGGCATGGGTCAGTGGGTAGAACGCTAGCCCATGAGTGAAAGTGTCCCATACTAAGTTCAAGTGCCAGTCTCAAAAAAAATTACAAGCAAAAAGATTGAAAACTTCTGTAAACTAGTGAAGCACTACAGCTTGAGCTCAGGGCCATGTATTCTTGGTTTGCTTTTCCACTCAAAGCTGGCACCCTACCACCTAAGCCACAGCTCCACTTCTTTTGAATGTGTTTCCTGTCCTGGTTTTATACTGGGATCCTCAGATCTCTGCTGAGAGTACCCGCACCTTGAGGCCTATCCTCTCAATGTCCAGAAACATTCAACAAACAGAAAACTCATTATGTGCTTTCCTCCAATTTAATATTATTAATATAGAATTTATAGAGGAACTATACATTTCACAGTACTCCCCATATGATTCCATAAATACTGAAATCTGGTATGCCACTGGGTTAACTTCAAACTGCGATCCTCAGATCTCAACCTTCTGAGTAGCTAGGATTACAGGCATGAGCCACTGGTACCCAGCTTGGTATAACATTGGGTTCCACCACAAGATAAGGACTCAAATGGTTTTTCTTGCTTGCTATGGTTTCCAACATATTTATAAGATGATTTTTTTTGTTGCTTTGTATGTCCCTCCCCCACAGTATAACGCCTGCTTTCACTGTATTTGATGTTGGTATAATTTGTGGAAGGGAAGGGAAAAAACAAATCGTTTAAATAGGGATACAGGTGGGCCCATTGCAACAATGAGATAGATGTACAAGACATTATGTCGAAAAATGAACTTTACAACTATGCGGTGGGGAGGCATGAGGGGGGAGGTGGGAAGGGACGGGAAGGGGAAACAAAGGAGGAGGCAACGATGCTTGATAAGAAATGTACTCATTACCTTGCCCATGTAATTGTAACTCCTCTGTACAGTATTTTCACAATAAAAAATATGAAAAAAGAAAAAATATTGGGTTCCAGTGATTATTCAACTGAATCAATTTTGAAAATGTCTTCTTTCCTAACAATTTCCTAATAATTATGGAAATTCTGAAATCTCCAAAACAGATTTAAACTCAGTAATCCTGATATTTCTGCATTTTTTCTTAAATCAGTAACAAGAGTTTATTGGTAAAAACTAATCCATATTTCTTGGAATAAAGAAAAGTTTAATAGAAATATGAGCAAATAAGCCTGAGCAGTGTGTTTCTATCTGCTCCGCTCCTAAACCCTTTCCTACCTTACCCCATTTCATCCCCTTTCTGGCCCTGGTGTTGGTGTTTTCCAGAGGAATTTAGATAACTTAACCAAGGCCACACAGCTAAATAAAAGAGCTGTGGTTTGAACCTGAGAATTGTACTCCAAAGTTCACATCAATTCTTCCTCTCAAATGAAAGTGATTCCCATTATGTATGTAAACATAAAATGGTTTTTCCCCCACCCTGGGTGCTTTGTTAGTTAGAAGTCTGATTGCTTCACACAGAGAATGTCATGTGATTCTCATTCGTAGCAGTCTGTTAGCAAATAAGTAAACAGGACTCCAATTTTTTCTCACTGTATCTATTCAGTTCTGGCTCACTCTAAATCTTGCCTGTGGTTGCACCACAAAATGCAGACACTCACTTCTATTGGGTGGTTTCAGGAGCACAAGGATTACTTTAAGAAAACACGTCCACTCACGTGGGGAAGATCACGAGGGCAGGTTTCATGTTTATGAAATGCATTTCTCTCAGATTAACTTAGCCAGCAGTGGAACTTCCCATCATTGTTAGAATGAAACCTTCTTTCCTCTCATAATAGAGTAGGTCTTGCTAAACTAGGCCAGCTCTACTCAGGGGCACTTCTGATTTCAAATGTTGTCATAAAAAAATGAGACACATGAGTGCCTATCATATATTTATCTCCTAAATCACCTCTCCGTAAACTGAACTACTGAAGTACGGGCTTGGGTGCCTTAACAACTGTGCTGTCACTGAATTAATTTACAGTTGAGTCAACTGAATGTTTCAAGGCAGGAAGTAAAATATAAATGGAAGACTCTGAGGAGGCATCCACTAGATGATCCTAAGAGAGTGCCAGGAGGACCAATGAAATGGGGATGTTGCCATGGTTACCAGGAGCCAGAGCTGGGAGTCTCATTGTCAGGAAGATATTGAAAATGTGGCCCAATAAACTCATAACACTGGAGGCATTCTGTACTTTAATTAGTGTGATCTTGGCTTTAGGAAGGAAGCCTGAATGGAGAAAAGTATCTTCATTCTGCCAGTTGGCAGTGTTCACTTTTTAGAAAGCTTTGCCAGTTATATGGCACAGGCCATCTTGAAAATGAAGGTAATTTCTAATTGGAAAATGGAATAAACTTAACAATCAGTCACGGAAGCCCACTGCCATGCCTACCCAGAGAAAACTCTGGTTCCAAATGAGTAACAAGCTTCTGTAGTCCCAGGTCAGGATGGAGAGCTAGCTGCTCTCGTCTCAAAGGGCACCAACTGAAGGTGGCATTTCACAGTGGCTTATCACCTGTCACAGCACACTCTGTATTCTCTCTCTATTACAGTCAGCTAGGCTAAAGCCCAAATAGGTATAGTAAGCAGATCAAAGGGATCATAATGCTCATCTTTATACAGATTATTTACAGATTAACAGCAGAAACTGCTGGGCTTAGTGGTGTACCCTGCAACTCTGGCACTCAGGAGTCTGAGACAAGATGGTCTCAAGCTTGAGGCCAGGCTGAGTCACAAAGAAAGACCCTGTCTAAAATTTTTTAAAAAGAGAACAGTAAAACCAATAGTAACAAGCAAAACAGGCAGTCACTAAGACAGACAAAAACAGAAAGGCAATCGCCATCTGTAATAGGATCTAGACATGAGGAGTTAGACCCAAATTGAAATTAGACTCAGGTAGCAATGAAGTAAACTTACTGCATCTTCCTTGCTATTTGTTTTGACTATCTTTCTTATATAAAAAATATGTTGGATTGAGGGAAAGGAAAAGGAAAGATGATATTCCCCCCA